TCGTATCTTCGCAGTTGTGAGTAATGCCACAATGAGTTTGCTAGTACAGATGTTTTTCTGAGGTCAAAGTCTTTTGTCTTCTAGCTGAAATTTCAGAAGTATCACAAGTTAGTTTTATCACTATTTGAGGAAGAGTCTACACAGTGTTTTCTACAATGGCTGTCATCATATGCGCTCTCACAGACGACAGGCTCGGCTTTCCTTCTCATGTTCTCTAACACCCATATGCTAAGACCCATTTTATTAACAGCTGTTGGCTACAGTCTTATAGTGTGTTTGATTTGTAATTTTGAGATATTAATGAAATGGAACCTTATTTAACCCTTGGGTCATCTGTGATTTCCTTTTGAAAAATGTCTACTCCAATCTCTGATCTTGTTAACATCAGCTTCCTGTCTTCCATCTATTCAGCTGGAGATATTTCCTAGTAATGGTTATTAATCTCCTATTTTATATATATATTGGTCTTCTTTTCTGTTATGGATTGCTCTGTTGTATAAAGAGTCTTAGTTGGATATGATATGACTTTCCATTTTTGTTGTCTGTTTAAAAAGTCATAACCAAATTGATTCTGAGACTAAGCATTAGTTCTTTGAGGATTTCATAAACGGTGTTTGGATCGTATTTGCCCTTCTCCTCCAAGATCCACCCTACTTATTTTCCCATACCATAGTACTTTGAGTCCCTTTCTTGCTGAGCTAGCATTTTGAAGACAAAAAACTTTCCCTTTTGGGGGGATAATAATAAAATTATATTAAACATACTTGTTTTATTTGTGCTGCTTATGTACTCTGGGAAGTGTGGGTATCCATGGGAGCATGGCTGACCTACCCAGAGTCACATGCCTAAAGAAACCATCTTCTAGCAGCTATCAGCTTCCAATAGTTCCTTAGCTAGTAGTGGGACCTTGTGCCCACCTCCTTTCTCCAAGTTGGGATTTTTCTCTATTTTAAGCTTGCACAGATCTTGTGATGTTGCCATAGCTGTTGTGCGTGCACACATGCAGATTTCTAGCTTTGTTGGGAAAGCAATGTTTCCTTGTATTCAACCATTGTCTCTTGCTCTTAAAATCTTCTCCTCCCTCTTCTGTAAACAATGAAACCTGATCTTTGTGGAGACAGGGTATGATACAGTTATCCCATTTATGGCTGTGTGTTCTGTAGTCCCCTATTCTCTGCTCATTGACCAGTGATGTGCCTTTGCCAGAGTCAACAGCTATGGCAAAAATAAGCTTCTTTGAAGAGGATTTAGAGATGCACCAGTCAATGGACATAATGGCAAGTCATTGGTAGTCCTTAATGTTGTATCCATTTAGCAGCATAATAATAGCAAGGTTTCCTCTAGGTCCAAACACATGTCCAGCCAGAGAGTCTTGACTGGAGAGTAGTGCCAAGTACAGATTTCATATTATGAAGTGTGCCCTAAATCACTTGGAAACTGGTCATTTATTCCCAACCTTTCCCTACAACTATTGAACAAGTCCACTTATCTTGGCAGGCAAGATACTACCGTGGCTTACAATTTTCATAGCTACATAAGGCCCATGGCTACTTTCCCCCTTACTTAGCATACATAGAAGTTTCCAGAATTAAGGAATCTTGCTAGTAGGGCTGCAGTTTCTGTGGAATCACCTGATTGATTATCCATGACTCACAGGTTTGTGGTCTTCAGCAATAAGATCTTACCATCAAGCCTTAGAAACTAAACAAAATGATAGGGAAAAGTCTGTCATTTTGGGGGTGTCTATGGGATCTTTATAGCCAACAATTGTGGAAAGGGTAACCCATTCTTGGTACTGGGCACTTTGTTTCTTAGCCTGTAGTAACTTCTTTTAGGTTCTTCTCTTTCATGCCCTCCTGCCCCCATTCCTGGTGCACTTTTATGCCTTACACATTTTATTACTCCATTCCACCTTTACTCTCTTCCAAGTTCTGCCCCCAACATGTCCTCTTAGGAATTTCCTGACATCTACAGATCTGTGACAATAAATATGGCATGGTGCTGACATAACAATAGACAGAATGATTATGGAACCTGATAGAGAAGAAATTTGGCAAAGCACTAGAAATCATTGCACAGGGAAAGACTTTCAGGCTAGAAATCCAGAAGTACAGTTGTTAATACCAACAATTGACTCACAGGAACTCATAATACTAGACTTTCTGTATAGCAAATGATACCATTATTTGAGTGAAGAAGCATCCTATATAATGGAAAAATCTTTAATGACTATACTTTCAATTGTAGCCTAGTATCTAAAATACACAAGGAACTCTAAACCAAACATCAAGAAAACAAACTATTCAATTATAAAATAGGATATGGAACCAAACTAACTCTTCCACATTGTTAATCAAAAGATAAACGGAAATGAAAACTTGATATTTCTTCTTACTCCAGTTAAAATGGATAAGATGAAAAACACAACTGACTGCAAATGCTGATGTATGTGGATTTAGTGAAAGGAAATACTTTATTTGCTGCTCATGGGAGTGCAAGCTGTCTCAACCACTATAGAAGTCAGTATGGAGGTTCCTCAAAATTTAGAAAGAGGTCTACTTCATGATTCAGATATTGTACTGGGCTTGGCTGCACACAAAGTTACATAATACTACTACAGAGTTCCCTGTGTCCATATTCATTGCTGCCCTACTCACAGCATCCAAGAAATGGGAGCAGCCTAGATGACGATCTACAGTTGAAAGCATAGCGCAAAACGATATATTTACTCAGTTTGGTGTGATTTAGCTCTCAATAAAATGAAATTATGCAATTGTTAGATAAACAGATCTGAAAATATCCACTACAAGTGAAGTGACCTGAACCCAGAAGGTAGAATGTCATGTGTTTTCCCCCATTTCCTAATGTTAGCTTTGACCTTCATACATGTGAGTTTAATTTGGAATACCTAAGGCAATTTTAAACAAGTTTTGTTGATTGAAGTTTATGTTTATTCCACTCATTTAAAAATTTATTTTTATACAATATTTGGTTTCATATATAGGCTCTTTTTATGTATGCAAGGTTGATTTTTTATAATTACAATAATTATGTAACTGGCATTGTTTGTGTGTCCAGAGAATTCCAGGTTAGGTGCTGTAAAATCAGAAGGAGATTGTTTTCTCATGAAAACATTCAATAGCTATATTTATGATGTGTTCTCATTTCCTATATTTGTTTCTTTGAGTATTATTTCTCCCTAAACTGATCGTGTTCACTAGATATGTTTTATTTTATACAACATATATTTTGATAAATTTTCAAAAGATTCAAAACAAAACCATTCCTGTTGTTATTTTGCTTAAATAAGAAGTCAGGAGATGGAACATGAACCTTGGAGGGTATGTTAAAAATAAAGTGTCTTACAGGGCAGGCGAGCAAGAGGAGGACAGACAGAAATGGAAGAACAGAACAGAGAGGAGAGAGGAAAGAAGGGGAGTGAGTGGTGAAGAAAGACGCATAAGAGGAAGAGAGAGACAGAAAGAGTACAATTAGAGGTTGACCATGGAAACAGAGAAAGTAGAGAAATGTGAGTGCAGGCTTAAAATGGAGAGCTCGCACATGCGCAGAGTCCCAAATGTAGTCCTGTAATGAGTGACGTAGCCTTTTGAACTACCTAAGTATCTGCCTGAAACTTTCAATGCTTTCCATGTCTTTGCACCATTAATACGAATACTACAGCCTTTACATAAAAACTGAGACAAAGAAAGTGCATGTAGTTTACTTGATCAAATTTAAGGAGTCTGTACGGTTGTTCTTTAGAGGGGACAATACTCAGGATTGTATCTGATGTTTTGTGCATACAAGGCAAAGGTCCCATAACTGGAAGATGTCCATGAGAGAATTGATGTTGGTGTGTGTGTGTGTGTGTGTGTGTGTGTGTGTGTGTGTGTGTGTGTGTGTGTGTCACACATACATAAGTGGGTGGTTGGGTGAATATACCTAGAGGTCAGGGAAGACCTGTCCTATCCTGTTCTCTCTCAACACACTTTACTCCCATGAGACAGATTCCCTCACTGCATATGGAGTTTGCCTGTTTGCTTGGCAACAGGCAAGCCTTAGAAGCCCTCCTGTTTCTTTACCCTACAGCACCAATGTGACAACACTAAGCTTTTTATGTGGATTCAGGGATTTGAACTAATGTGCTTCTGTTTTCACATCAGGTACTCTTATCTAGTGAGATATCTCCAGCTGTCTGCTAAACTGATAAGTAATGTCAGTGCTCTCCTGTAAAGCCATGTATGAGAGCACATGTATGCCTTGCTAACAAAACAATACGTCATTAATCAGAGTTGACTTTGATTACTCACACAATCATAGTGCATTTCAAAGTGACATCCTCAACATCATCACATGGGCTCACAAAGAGAAACATGGAGCCTATATTGTTTCCACACAAGTGGTATTCATTTTCGATGATTTTAAAACTACATGAAGGAAAACGATGTGGTCAGGAATATATCCAAATACGTTGACACTTGCCAACAAGTTACAGATAATGTAACCAATTGTTGACTTACTTGGGGAAAATGACAGAAATGTACTCTCTCAGGTAAAATGGATTTCAAATAACAAAATAACAAGAAAGAAAAGACAAAGACCCTCTTTTTGTGGAGTAAGGAAAACCAAGTAAACATAAAAAGGAGAAAACAGAAAACTATTTAATGATTTATGTCATCTGTCAGAATTATGTCATGTATTCACTCAACTAAATAAAGAACACCTCAGAGTTTTGGCAACTGAATCAGGATGCACAATCTGGCCATGGCCATGTGATGCAGGGACACAATTATGTCAGTTATGCATCCCTGTGTACTCATAAATCACAATCCATGATGTTTTCAAAGTAAAGAGGAGACATGTGATGCCGTAATGTCAGTGGTTTTGCCAAGAACTATCCAGGTATATAAAAGCCTGCTGATGAATGGTGACATCCATACTCAAGAACCTTACTGTTGTCTTAACTGAACACCAGTAAGTTATTCCTACTTACTGACACCATGTGTTACTATGGCAGATACTATGGAGGCCTAGGCTATGGCTATGGTGGCCTAGGCTATGGCTATGGCTGTGGCTATGGTGGCTATGGTGCCTATGGTAGCTATGGTGGCTACGGTGGCTATGGTGGCTATGGCTATGGCTGCTGCCACCCATTTTGCTGTAGAAGATACTGGTCTTGTGGCTTCTACTGAGGAGTTTCTACAGATCCCTAGCCATAGTATTTTCACATTAGCAACACAATATATTTTCAAAACTTCTAACCTTATACCAAATAGTTGAAAAATAATTGAAAAAGAATATGATCATCTAATTCCTCATCTTCAGCTGGACTGTGATTATCTGCAAAAAAAATGTTTTCTTATCTCTATCATGATCTGTAAAATATTTTCAACTTTAACTCTCAATCTTTGTGTAAAAATACCTGTTTTCTCAAACAATTAAACACTGAAAAATAATGTCTGTATGTTTTCTGCTTTTGTATCTGGTCCCATGTGGGGTCGTTGTGGGAAAGTGGGAGGGAAGTGAGGGAGAGGAGGAGGAAAATGGAGAAGGAAAAATGCAGGCAAATAAGGATTGAGGAGGGGACATTAGAGAGAGGCAGAGGGAGAAACATCTTCAGCATTCATCTATGGATGGAAGCACATTTATTTGGCTGTTTTTATAACTCGACTATTGTAAGCAATGTGAAAATCAACTGGATAGTGCACCTGTTTCCTTAAGATCCAATAACTTAATCTAGTTATTATACTAGCAGGGTCACGTCTAGATCTCCTGCCATGTTTGTATGCATGCCACATGTCATTTTCTGTCGTGGATGCCCCGAATTACATTCCCATCAACAGTGGAGGAGTTTTCTGCACCAGCTCTGTACCATTCATCTGTTTCTCTAACCATAATTACCAAACAGTTTTGAGCTTCAGTCTTCTTTTGATCTTGATTTGCAGCTCTGCACTATTAGTGAAATAGACCCTTACTGTTTCAGCTTGTCTGTCTGTATCTTTTCTTTTGAAAAAAAAATACCTGCTCTAAATCTTGGCTCATTTAACATTCGTTTATGTTCTTTTGGCTGTTTAGCTTAGCTATGCATAGCTCATATGAATTTTGTTTATTTGTTCCCTGCCTGCTGTACTTGGTTTTTTTTTTCCCTCTGTGTGGAGTTTCTTTTATACATTTGATTCTTTTATACATTTGATTCAGTTCTTCAGAACTTTCGTAGTAGGATACATGAAAAGTTGTCTATGCTCCTTTTATTCTTCTCATGTTTGTGACATCTCTTTGTGTGTTTTACATGTATTCGTGTGCATATGTGTGCATAGGTGCATGAGTGATCACATGGAAAGGCTACAATTTAGGGTCTACTGTCTTTCTCAGCTGCTCCCTGCCTTACATATTGAGGAGAATCATTAGAGCAGGAATTTGGCATTCAAGTTAGTCTGGCAATCTGACTTGCTTCAAATGATCTGCAAGATTAGCAGGTGAACTGCTACACTCAAGTGGCCTTAAGACATCTATCCTGGGTTGCATGCTGTTAATTCAAACACATTGGTCATTTTATTTACTGCTCATTCATCCCACTCCATACTGTCTTCCCTACCCCTCCTCTGATTAATGTTCTATGTAGTGCATTACTCTCTTGTATCCCCATCCTTCTGATATTTTCTCTTCTCCTGGTGCCCTTTCTAGTTGAATGATCTATTATGCAAGTGTGTGTGTGTGTGTGTGTGTGTGTGTGTGTGTGTGTGTACACACTCACACCAGTTTAGATATAGGTTTTGTGCATGACATGAGTTACATAGCATTTGTCTTTCTTTTAAAATTTGTAGTGTGAAGGGGTATAATATAAAAAAAATGTATTAATTGAAAAATCCATACAATGGATTTTAAAGATAGTGACACCCTCAGTTCCTACCTTGCCATCTTTATTTCACCAACTTTGAGATTACTATTTTTGTTCTAATTTCTCCCTTGGAGTCCAGTTTGTGTTGCCCACCTTGTCTTGGAATTGAGGTCTGCATTGGTATGTGGCCAGTCTACCAGAGGCTACATCTCATAAAAACAGATATTTCAGAAGTTACCAGTTCCTAATGGCTACTCAGTCATTGGTGTTCCAACTCTGTCCTCCTTCCAAGATGAGATTTTGCATGGTTGGAACTTGCTTGGGTCTTAGGCCTATTGTCACAATCACTGTGAGTGTGGATGTCTATCTGCCCCGTTGTCTTGAAAACACTTCCTTTGTCATCATTCACTACCTCTGATTCTTAGTGTCTTCCTGCTCCCTCTTCTGTAGAGATGCTGGAGCCTGTGGAGAGGAGTGTGATGTGAGTGTACAATTTAGGATTGAGGGCATCACTTTCTTTGTTATCTGCATATTAGCTATTTGAAAGTATGTCTCTATTAATTTCATTTACTGCAAGAAGCTATTCTGATGGGGGTTGAGGGATGAACTGATCTATGGTTGTGACATAAGTCATTAGTAATCATCGTGATCATATGTCTATTTAAAAGGATAATTCATATTGGATTCTTTCCTAGGGCTTGTGAACCTGTGGCTTTTAAATTTTTATTATAATTCTATTCATTTTAATCTTTCTGCATATATTGGCATGGAGCTATGCCTATGGCTTATCCTGAACCTGGAAGTCAGAGGAAAATAAGAGAATGTTCCTCTTCTTCCAACTTCTAGGACACTTAGATCAAACTCAGATTCAGGCTTGGGTGGTATGTGCCTTTAACTACTTGGGCATCTTATCAGCCCAGCATTTGTCTGTCTCAATCTGTCTTATTTTGCTTAACATAAATATCAGTTGGACCCAATTTTGTGAAGAAAATATTTTTTTATTTTTTTAAAGAAAATAATTTTAAGAAGATACTAGGATATGGAAGGAAATTCTCTGTCAATAGATTTCAGGAATTAATTACATGAAATTTGTTGGCTAAACCAATGGACAGATTCATCCAATCTCCATCAAAATTCCAAGCATATTCTTAACAGAACTAGACAGTACAATCATAAAGGTCATATGAAGGCACAAAATGACTCTAGTATTCAAAACAATACAAACCGGAAAGGAAGATGCTGGACCTACCACAGAGCCTGATTTCAAATTATACCACAGAGCCATAGTAATAAAAACTATGTGACGATAGCACAAAGAAAACATACAAAAATTTGAAAGAACATGCATGAATGGAATACATTCAGAATAAAACCAAAATGAATTTATGTAGATATTTACTACCATCACATTACAAATAAACAAATCAATTTTAATTAGGAATGCTTGGGGAATACATTCCTCCAGATAGAATTACTCCACAATTAAAAAAACAAAAGAAAGGAAAACACAAAGACCTTTCACCCGTGGAGTATTACAAAACAAGCAGGCATAAAAAGAGCTATTTCAACAACTGGCATAGAGACACAGTATTAAATACAACTATTAAGTAAACAAAATACAGAATGAGACAGAGTCTTGAAAATAAAACCAGAATCTCTTGTTAACACCTTATGATTTGACCATCGGATCCTGACATACGAGCAAAATTATCTCAGTTATGCAGCTTTGATTGTCCAGTAAACCAAGGCATGCTGATGTTTTCTGAAGCACAGAGGAAATATGTGTGATCTGCAATGCCTGTGGTTTTCCCTGCCAAACAACCAGGTGTATAAAAGGCCCTTGGAAGACAAGGAAATCCAGACTCAAGGATCCCACTACTGGTCTTCTCTGAACAGTGCACTCCTGATACCATGTGTTACTACAGCAGCTACTATGGAGGCCTGGGCTATGGCTATGGAGGCCTAGGCTATGGCTATGGCTGTGGCTATGGTGGCTATGGCTGTGGCTATGGTGGCTATGGTGGCTATGGCTATGGCTGTTGCCGCCCATTGTGCTGCAGAAGGTACTGGTCCTATGGCTTCTATTGAAGAGTTTATGTATCTTCCATGCCTTTCTGCCTGGAAGTGCTTCTGACTAATTTCACACCAATCCCTCAAAAATTTTTCAAAAATTTTAACTTTACACCATATTATCTTATTATCTGAAATAAAACTGAAATACAGCATGGTTATATAATCCTCATCTTCAGTTGTACTGTGATAATGTCTATGTTATCTTCATAACATCCTGTAATGTTTGCGCAAAAAAATGTGTATATTATCAATTAACTAAATGATTAAACAGTACAAATAAGATTTCTGTATGTTTTCTGCTTTTGTATCTGTTTGGTCACATGTAGGGTTGGTTCCGGAAACGTGGGAGGGGACTAAAGGAGATGAAACTGGAGGGGGATCGGGACAAAGGAGGTAAATAAGGATGGAGGAGGAGACAGGAGAGGGAGAAGGAGAGGGAGAGGGAGAGGGAGAGGAAGAGGGAGAG